CCCCCCCCCCCCCCCCCCCCCCCCCTCTCCACAGACCGTGACAGTGAAAATTCATACCCATCACAGACCGTGACAGAGAACATTCAGACCCATCACAAACCGTGATAGAGAACTCCAGAGACCATCACAGACCGTGATAGAGAATCCCAGAGACCATCACAGAGCGTGACAGAGAACCCCAAAGGCCGTCACAGACCGTGACAGAGAATCCCAGAGACTATTACAGACCGTGACAGAGAACCCCAGAGACCATCACAGACCGTGACAGATAAGCTCTAGGGGTCATCATAGACTGCGAAAGAAGAGTTCAAGAAAGTATCCGAGATAATAAATAATAAAACATGATTGGAGCATATATGGGGTATTATCCTGTTTCAGCTCTATAATATAAAGTAAGCCACGATGAGGAAAGATACATCAATATGCATAAAAAAGAACAATTTTTATAAGATTGGCAACAGCAGGTACATCGTGTTTCACATTTTTAATCCCGCAAGGGATTGCGCTAACAGCTTTTTTTAAATTTATTCATATCTATATCAGAAGAATTAACAAGATAATAAATAAATAAATGATTCCATAAAAACATAAATGTATTTTGATCTAAATTTGTTAAAGATTGTTGATTTGTCATTTCCTGTAATGAAGAAATACTTATTGATAAATCATTTCTATATGTTAATAGAATATCTTGACGTAATCATTCAATTAATGTATGTTCATCTATGAAAGTATTAACTCGTTTCGAATAAGTCTGATTTTCATAATTTATATTTTGAAGATTTCTTTCCAAAACATAAATTGATTGAATTTGAGGAAAATCATTATAATATGAAACATATTCAAAGAAATTAATTAAAACAAGAAGAATTTTCCGATGACTTTGAACATTTATTATATATAATCATCACAATCTTCAAATGAATTAAATTTTATTAAGTAATCAATAATTTGTTCTTCATATGGTATATTACTATCTGTAGAAAACCAAACAATTTTATAATCTTCATAATTTTGTATTTCATTTAATGGTGTTGATGATAAATTGAAATTAGTCATATTATTTCATACAATTTTTTTCTTAAAATAAAATGAAAATAAATTTCATTGGGAATAAGAAGAATATTTCGTTTTTCAGCTATCAGCGTCACTATAGAGTAATGTCAACGACAATTGCCTACAATTCTCTGGACAAAAGATTGGCTTGACACAAATCTCTCTAACCTAATCGTTTGAGTACATCCACAAGGTTTCATTAAGTACAATGGAACTTCATAAAGAACGAGAATAAAACCCTACATTTATTCCATTTCGGAATCGTATATGTGTATGTCGACATTTCATTCTTTGGCAGCGAAGTCTGTTGCTAGAACTAATCTAAGCGCTCTGTGGTTAAGATGGTTCACGTATGCTGTTATGTTCTGGTGTGATTTTTTTCTCTCGATCAGATCATTTGATAGCACTCTCTCTCTTGTTGTTTTTGTTGTTTCATAGGATTTGATGCTTTCTACAAGTTTCCAGGAAACTTTTTTTTCGCAGTTTATTGAGAAATATAGCATAAGAGGCATAATGGCAAGAAAACGAAAAAAATTTCCTGAGAAGGAAAAAGATTTTCTAGAAAAAGGAATTTTCTCAGAGAGAATATCCTGTTGAAGTGTTTCTGCCCTCACCCTAAGCGAGATAGATGCCTTATATGAAATTCAGATCAATTTCTCGGAAATTATTTTCCAATTTCCCACTGATGAATTTCCAGGAAATTCCTATAATGCATCATATGCTCCATAGTATCTCTCCCTTCATTTTATTATCGTCTCTTTTGTTTTCTCTTTTGTCTGATGAAAGCGAACATATAGTTCACTAGCGAATATTGCTCTAGTTCGTCCTCTCACTCTCTCATCATCTGTACGATCAGCTGTACGAGTGCACGTCATCGTTAGACACTCGCTCTCTCTTTGCACTACTCTCTCTTTTATTCTTTTCATTCCTTGTTCGATAGTGCGCGTACAGTTCACTTCTCGAAGTTATAGATCCTCTGCATTTGATCATCACTCCCTTATATATCAGCTTCTCTCTCGGATATCACTTTCTTCTCTCGTTCACCAACGTTGTATCAATAATCCGCCAATACACACTAATATTTTCAGTCCGATAAACAGGCTAAAATCAATTGTAGCTATATTTTAAAAGACTCAAACGATATGAGGATCCAATATTGAGCAAACTTAACATTTTTGCATAGATAACATAGTCAACTGAACACATATGCTTAACAATTCAGAAGGATTCAATGCATGTCTACAGAGGGTGTGGGTGGATGTGGGTGTGGGTGTGGGGTGCGTGTGGGTGTGGGGTGTGTGTGGGGTGTGTGTGGGTGTAGGTGTGGGGTGTGAGTGTCGAGTGGGTGTATTCTCTCTACTCACACCCACACCCACCCACATCCACCCCCACCCACACTCCACACCCACACCCGCCCACACTCACACCCACACCCCACACCCACACCGACCCCACACCCACACCCACCCACATCCACCCCCACCCACACTCCACACCCACACCCACCCACACTCACACCCACACCCCACACCCAC